CCGGCGTTTAAGTCATCACCAGCGGAAGAAGACGACCAAGAGAGACACGAAGAGGAAAACGTAGGAGCAGTAAATGGCACAAGTCAACCGGCCACTTCTTTTTCTCCACGTTCTTTTGCTGCACATTCGTTGTCTGACTGCCGCTGTCTTCTTCTTCTTCTTCTTTTTTCCTCTACAAAGTGCCGCCGAATCCAAACAGCTAGTAGAGCAATGAAGAGAAAGAGAGAAAGAAAGGGCAAAAGTGAACGAAAATGAACTGATGCACGAAGAAAAACCGAGCTGCAGAGAACTACCAGCACCACCAGCACTCGATTGCCGTCTGCACTGTAGCAATCTGCTGCAGTTGAACAGAGGCAAACAGTGTGCTAGAGCAAATAGACTAACCGACCGTCTTCGCCGACTATTGCACTTTGCCTTTTCTATCCCGTCTTCATCTCTTGCATTACTACTGCTTGATTTATCACCACCAGCACCGCCATCGCCACCACAACGATCACCACCAGCAATAGCAGCAGTTCATTAGGCCAAAAATCGAATTACTGCCTAGCCCTACCAAAACGAAAGAGGGGGTGGAAGGCAATGTACAGGAGAGAGAGAGAAAGAGAAAATAGGCAGAATAAGCCGGACACGAGTTGGCGAGTGAGTGAGTGAGTGAATTGCCCGAGATTGCCCGAAAAAGGCGCTAAGAGGATTAGCAACAACTGGCGGCGAGATAAGCAGAATTGGTGCGTGTGTGTTTGCTTGAGGAGGAAGAGGAAGAGGAGGAGGAGGAGGAGGAGGAATCAGGCTAGTCAGTCATTGAGTTGGTGTGCGGTGGTGGTGGTGGTGGCCAGCTACCGTTAATGCTGATCGTGCTTCTGTGCATGCTCTCGTACATTCTGTGGGCAAATTCTGTGTGTGCTTGTACAATCTTGTCTAAGTATGTGGAATAGCCATCTGTAGCAGCAGTCGCCCACAAAGTGAGTGCTGAAGCCAAAGGGGAGAACTACTCTATCGGCGGTAGGAACTGACAGATATAATGTGTGCATTTGCCAACATAGCAGCAGCAGCATTGGCACTTGGAAATGGCAGCGTGGAAAAGTCCGCAAGCAAGCGGTGCCATTAGCCGACGGAACCAAGAGCAAAGTTGACAGAGGCGTAGGTGGTATTTGGCGACGGTGTGCTCTACTGTGTCTGCTACTTCGGCTGTTTCTGCAGCTATGTTTGTCTTGTCTGCAGCAGGGGTGTTCATGTGGAAGGAAAAAGTTCAGTGCCGTACAATTAGAGTACACCAACAGTGTGAAACGCCAGTGAGCGCCCATAGGTCAACAAGCAATTGGAGGGTTCAGAAACAGAAAAGAAGATATGAAACTGAATTAAGAAGCAGAGGTGTTAAATGTCAAAACAGCTGATGAACATCACCACAGCAGCGTCACCAGCAGTAAAAGCAACTGCAACGGCTGCAAAGGCAGCAAATCAATCAAAGTGTACCACAAGTGTGTTTGCACTGTGCACAACGAGCACCCGAAGAACACTCTTTCTTTCCTTTCATCTTCACTTCTCTCTTTCTCACCCACTGTCTGACAGCATGACGGCGGCGACGAAAAGGTTGCCATTCTGCAGCAGTGTGCAGACTCGCCGTCGATTGAGCCGACAGAAGGCAATCGATTTAGTGAATGATGGGGAAGAAAGAAAAAGAAAAATAATGGAAAGAAGTATAAAGGCAGCAGAAGCAGTGAAAAGAGCGGGTGCGAAGGAGAGTGTAATAAAGAAAGAGAGGAAGAAGGATCGGGAGGGAGGAAAGGCGAAAGTCGCCAAACGACTGGTTGCCACCACTGCCGTTAAGCTGATGCTGATGAAAGAAGGAAAAGATGGCCACCGAGTGCTGTTGATGTTATTGTTGTTGTTGTTCTTTTCAGCACGGCACACTTCTTGACTCGCTTCATTAGTCAGTCAGTCACATTGAAAGACCTAAACCGTGTGAAGCGACTTGAGCAGCACTACAAAGGCAGATAGACACCTTCTCAAACTGAGGAGAGAAAGAGAGAGAAAGTCAATCAGGCTACCGGTCACGATTCCAAATCATGGGAGGAAACACACGGAGAACGCCGTAGTCAATGTTGTGTAACAAAAGGGGGAGAAATGTGAAATACAAAATTAGGCTGCAACGAGCAATTAACTGCTTTGTGCTTTGTACTTTGTGCTATAAGTGGTTGTTCGCAAGCAGTGCACACACTTTTGCGCACGTTTATCGATTATCAATGTGCGATCGATAAGCAGAGAGTGAAGATTTTAGAGAAGTAAGCACGAGGCCTCCTCAGTTCGGAGTATACCCCAGACACGGGCGGCAATTTGACGGGATTGAATGAATGCGAAGGGGAAAGCAAAGGAAAGCAGTCTAGAGGAATTTCAAATTGCCCATCGATCGAACAGGGAGTGAGCACATGAAGAAGGAAGGGAGCACAAGTGGGGACTAACTTTGAAGGAAAGAAGGAAGAAAAAATGAGCAGGTAAATCGACCCTGACCAGCCGAATTTAAATGCGTCCCAAAGGTGCATTGAAATGGCACTGTAAAAATAGCAGCAGTAGCAGCAGCACACACGTCTCCAGACGACCATTTTGTCGTACCAGTTTTTTACCTGAGCTGTGCACAGCTAGCAGCTTTCTTCAGCCGTGCACTCCACCTGCATTGTAAATATCAATAATTAACGGTCACTGGAGCAGCAGCGGCAGTAAACAGCGGCGGCACCAATTTTATGCAACAAAGAATGCGTCACTGTTTATGCCAAAACTGCTGCAAAGGCTAAGTTATTCTCTCATTAGCAGCGGCGGTGGCAGCAGTGCTGACGTGCAGCGATTTCCTAAGGAGGTGGTGTATGGGTCGATGAAGAGGAGGTTGGCATTGTCTCTCTCTCTAATTGGCCAATGACATTGCACTGACAGAGCACTGAAAGTGGTAAGTCATTCTCTAAATAGCATTGAGTTGAAAAAGGGTTGCAAAAGGACACTTACCTTTCTCTCTTTCCGTTTTCCACGTGGAACGACTGAAGAGGGGGAAGGAAAACTTTGACGTCGATCGACGCCTAGGAATTTTGTTGTTTGGAGAATCGGTTTTGTTTTTATCGCTTCCTTCTTAATTAATCCTCAGAGGACAATCACTGGGGGTGAACAGACAATGAATAAAGGGGGAAACAACGGCTGTAGTCACTTTAGTAGTCACTGTTGTCGTTCATTTGTCAAAAGTTAGAAGTCAAAACGGCGGCGGGGACAGTGACGGCTGCTTCAAATCACATTCTTCAGGCACCAGAGAAGAAACGCTAAATGCCCGCCTAATCTACCCAAAAATAAAGTCAACTTCTTTGGAAGTACAAATTACGGACTGGCAAACACAGACAAACAGACTGACTGACAGACAAACAGCAAATCAGCGACAGGCGTCTTATCGATCGGACACTGTGTGCGCTTGCCGTGGCACTTGCTTCTTGGAAAAAACCAGCCAGATGAAGCCGTCAGCTGAAGAGCGACCTGCTGTTGGAGTGAATGAGTGTCCGCTGATAGTGCCAACATGTGCCCCCAGTGATGTGGGCGCACACACAGACAGACAATTTGTGGAGATAACCTCCAGTGAGTGTTATTGCAATTTGTCACAGCAGCAGCACTACTACGATCACCATTTCACCTTAAACGTCTGACTCCTCGTCACTCCCTTGCTTATCGTCCAGTGCCAACTGTCGGTTCACGTGNCACACAGACAGACAATTTGTGGAGATAACCTCCAGTGAGTGTTATTGCAATTTGTCACAGCAGCAGCACTACTACGATCACCATTTCACCTTAAACGTCTGACTCCTCGTCACTCCCTCGCTTATCGTCCAGTGCCAACTGTCGGTTCACGTGACCACCACACAACTGACCACAACTACCAATGCCAATTGGCGACAAATCACACACACACTACAAACTACTGTAGTCATTGCAGTGTCCTGTCAATCCGATTGACGGGGAATGCTGCTGCTGATCAGCGGCGAAAAAAAATTGCGTGCATGCAAAAAGGAATGACAGACAATGAAACAAAACTAGCTGTAATGGTAGCCTTGCTTACAGTTGTGCACTCTCTTGCAGGCTTGCCACACACTCATTTGAACTTGCACCTCAACTCTCTCTCATTTTTTCACTTGTTGAAGGACACACAGACTGAGCCCAGGATCAGTGCAACCTGGAAAACCGAATGGAACTCCCAGACTGGGCAGTTGTTGCCAGGTGTATCGGTGCACTCTGCTCACTGTACAATGGAGTCAAATGTCTGCCTGTCTTTTTGTTGTTGTTGTCGCTAAGGGAGGGGGCTTGAAAGAAGAAAAAAAGAAGAATAAAAAGCAAAGTTGAGCCGGATCGGATGCTTTGTTGGAAGAAAGAGTTGCGCTTACCACCACCACCACCAGCAGCGATTGGTTACGGCACACAGACAGAGAGAAGGCTTAGTATTGTGCACAGTTGTACAGTACAACAACGGTGCACTAGCATGCTGAGTGAGCGAGACAAAGTGTCCGATTACAACAATGGCCATGCACAAGACAACGGCGGCGGTGGTGTAAAGGCGCGTAAAGGCCAGCCAACGGTGATGCAGCAATGCAAAATGTCAGTCAGTTAGCTCAGCTCCGTTTGGTTTGGTTTGGTTTGACAGACAGGAGCTCGCACACAAACACCGTTAGCTGGCAATTAACAAAGCTTGACAGGAGGAGGATGATTTGAGATGAGATGAATGCAGTGGTCGTAGTAGTAATGATGATGATGATGGTGATGGTAATGCTGATGATGATGGCGATAGCGTGAGCAATCACCATGGATTAGGCGACCAACACAGTTCACTTCATTTACAAAGCTCCACATTTATCGACAGGGCAATGTTTAATCAGATGGTGACAGATTTGCTGTTTGTGCAATGCGTATGAGGGGCTCAGTGCTCTGTACAACGTCTGTCAACGGCTGCTGTTTGTCTATTGAAGACAGTGAGCCATGCCTTCTCAATCAGCCTCCATTGGCTCTTCGAATTTAATTTCCACTTCGCGATTGCTCACTGTCGTGTGCTTGTCGATTATGCCTCGAATGAAACGTGCTCGACTGAGCGCTCGGCGGTAGCACTTCTCCAGTGTGGCCGTCTCAATCTCCTTAGAGCCGGTCACCTCGAAGAAATAGATCAGCTCGGCGGTGGTCGATGACTCTTTCTCCTCCTCTGATGTCGCCCTCGAGTCGACGGCAATGCGTATCATACTGTCAGAGAGCTCTTCCTCTGAGACGAGCGGGTCTTCGAGAAGGGAACTAAAAAGGAAAAAGTTAGTCATAAAGCAAATAAAAATGGAGAAAAGTGCTAACTCGTTGACAATGCAGAATGTGGTGAAGATGGGATAGCTCTGCACTTGTAGCGCCTCGAAGGTTTCAGTGGGGGCGATGGTATCAAAGTCGAGGTCGATGTCGTATTTGCGCAGCTTGCCTAGTTGGTGGGGAAAGTAGGTTGGATGGATGGATACACATAAAAACAAACAAATCTGCAAAGCGAAAATAACCAAAAAGAAGAAGACTGCTTACAGAACTTGAGCGCACAGATGGCGGCCAGGAGAGACAGATCGACGATGCTACCGTTCAGATTGAGGCAAATAATCTCCAGCTCCAGCTTCCAAACGTGCTTCCGCGGCACCAGACAGAGCGCATTCAGGTCAACGACTTTGGCGTGGAAGAGCACCTTTTTGATGCACTCCCGCACCAGATCGCAGATGGACGTTCGGTCGGGATTCTCCAGATCGGTGGAGCAGGTGTTGGAGAAGTTCACCTCCACGTCGATGATTCCCTTGTCGGGCTTGTCGCTCGGTGGCTTCACGAGAGACTGTTGAGTAGGCAAAAATTGGTAAAGAAAATAAGGAAAACTATCAAGTTTAGTAAACAGACCGTTTTGATGCCGCAAACTGCTGATGAGGTGCCAAACTTGACCAACGCCGAGCCGTTGGCCGTCGAGATGCAATCTTCAGTTGACAAGTTCCGATGTTAGCAAAAAGGACAAACCGTAAACCAAATAAGAACATACCGCATGTTAGAAGAATACTTCTGGATTGATTAAACTTGCGTCCATCAGATCTGGTACCCTTTTTCTGTGGTAAACAATACAAATGTTTGTTAAAATGCACAAAGAAACCAAAGCAGGCACACTTACGAGGAATGTTTGCAGGAACTGCAACGGCTGCAGGATTCTTTAAATTGAGTTGACATTAAGTTATCAGATAAAACTCTAATGAAACTTACTTGAACAGATCAGCCATGTTGTTGGAATCACAAAACAAAAAAAAGCAGAATCTCAAAACACGCGGCTAACCGACCATGTGACTTTAGCTCAGCTGCAAAAAGTTTTTTATTTGTTTGCATCAGCTTCGCAGGCGCCGTCTGTTGAAGGGCAGGTAAACACACACAAACACTTTAGGTGTTTGTTGATGTCTCATCAAAACTGACTCACCGAAATTCCCCAATTACTCTACTCGGAGTTGGGTTGATTTTCCACCTGGAGATCACCTGAAAAGGAGGATGGTGATGGTGAAACGGTCATTTGATGCGGCAAAAAACCAGTCTGCTTTTGTCAAACAGTGATACAATAGATTGACTATTCTCTACCTCAAACCCAAAAAAGAACCGCCCAGCTTGTCATTCTCTGTTTTCTACCTTGGTTCTCCTCCACTTCTACCTACCTGTCGTGTTTGTGCATTTGTCTTTCTCTTTTCTAGTGTAGAACTCACACACACACGAACAACTGTGTTTGAAAGCTGGTGACAGTGGTGAAAGCCACCAGCAGTTCAACCTTTGAATCACCGAAACTAAATCAGCTCTTGTCTCGCCGAATCACCATCTACTCCTCTTCCTCACCATAACCTGATCTCATCTTGGTGGAAAATCGAAACCCCTTTCTTTCATACCAATCTTTCTTCAGCTTTTAAACCGCCACCACTGCACCTCGGAAAGCAAAATGGGCAACAAGCAGAGCCTGAAAGCCCACACTGAGAACGCCCAGCGGACGGGCGTCTTCCAGATGACCAACTCGAAGCTGCAGGAGGTGCCGCAGGCGCTCTTTGCCGTCAAGACGCTGCGCTCGATTGACCTGTCGAACAACAAGCTGAAGGAGCTGCCGCCCGCATTCGGCACCTTCACCGCGCTGCGAACACTGCTGCTCAACGGCAATCAGCTGACCTCATTACCGGAGGAAGTGTGCCAGCTGGTGAAACTGGAAACGCTCTCACTTGCCGGTAAGCAAGCCTTCATTCCATTCGACTCGATTCAATTCGATTGAATCCCCCCTTTACCTGACACTAAACAAGCACTCACTCACAAAATTTGCCCGCAGGCAACAACCTCAGCTCGCTGCCGTTGGGCTTCTCCAATTTGAGGTCACTGCGGACGATTGATCTGTCCCGCAACCGCCTGGACGCCTTTCCCGTGCGCCAGTTGGCCAACCTCCGCCAGCTCGACTTTGTTGACCTCTCCAAAAATAACATCGCCGCGGTGCCGGCCGGCGTGGCCGACATCCAGGCCTGCGAGATTAATCTGAACGAGAATCAGCTGCGGGAGATCTCCGACGACCTGGCCGCCTGTCCGCGCCTCAAGGTGCTGCGCGTCCAGGAGAACTGCCTGGCGCTGGAGGAGCTCACTCGGAAGATACTGCCCGACTCGAATGTTTCGCTGCTGGCCGCCGAGGGGAACCTCTTCGACATGAAGCAGCTGCACGAGGACCCCGGCTACGACAAGTACATGGAGAGGTACACTGCCACCAAGAAAAAGCTCTAACCACTCCAGCCACACCGAACAAAGCCGAACAAGTACAACTTTGTAATCATGAACCGTTTCATTCTTAATTAAATTTAAGTTTATTTTTCCATTATGCGCGCCCAACTTCTCCTCTTCCCTTATACCGCCTGTCGACCACTAATCTGGGAGGAATAGAAAAATCGAGGAGGCGGTAGAACGACGTCAGCAGTTGGCGCATGTTTACAAAATTTGTGTGTTGGGTGTGTTGTGAGGTGGTAATAAGCAATTTGAGGTGGTGTGAAATAAGTTTTTGCTTGTGTATAATTAACAGCCTGGCAATTGGTGGTGGAAGACCCCAGGCTCACAAGCGAACTTGCTCAGAAAAGGGCGGCATCTTGCTTTGAGGATGTTGTTGTTTTTGTTGAGTGGTAGTAGAAGTGTGGTGCTGGCTGGCTGTTGAGATAGAGATGCGGATGGTGATAGTTATACTGTTGTTAAAAGAGTACAAGTTGGCCGGGAATGAATGGTGGTGGTGTTGGTAAAAAGCGATGTTTCGATACTTCGACTCACAAACACACACTTAGAGCAAGCGAATGAAGAAGATAAAAGAGAGTAGGATAGAGAGGGTGCAGTGCAGGCGGCGGCTCTTGAAGTTAGAAACCGTGCACCTTCAGCTGATCGGCCTTGGCAATGCCAATTTTGGTCAAAAACTGGCAAATGTTGTTGCGCTGATCGCCCTGCAGTTGAATCACTTCACCATACTCGGCGTGATCGACCACGGTGCCGTTACAGGCAAACTCCTGAAGAGGGAACAAAAACAAAACAAAGACGAAGGTCAGCAAGTGGTGGTGGTGGTGTATGCAAGTGGTGACGCAGCAGCGTCACCATTAGATGCGCAATGAGTCTGTATGTTTGCGCGAGTGACGTACCTTTTTGCATGCTTTCACAATTTTCTTTTTATCGAAATTGTCGGCGATGCCCTGCACGGTGGTCAGCGTCTTGCGACCGTTACGTTGCTGAATCCGAATGTGGATTAGGCCGTCTTGGGCTCCTGTTTCATCACTACGAAACGCATCGGCGAACGGGTCTGCGCGAAACAAAAGAAAGATAAGAAGGATGATGATGTTGAAAAAACTGGAAAACACTGGATTGCACAGTCGCAAGCAGGCAGGCTGCTGCTGCACGCGCCGTTGTATTCAACACACACAGGCAACTACTCACCGATAGTTTTAAGGTTTTGGATGTTTGTCGACATACGATTAGCGTGCGCTGGGACGAGTGCTTCAAGAGCAGAAAAAGGGGTACGCGGCGGTGGTGGTGGTGGTGGGCGGTGGCGAGTGGATACCGACGGAAGTGTGCTTGCTGGGCGAGTGTTTGGGTGCTTTGGAGGCGTCCGGGCGAGGTTAGAGCAGTTGGATGAGTGCTTGCTAGCGTCTCGGAAGAAGTTGAGTGAGCTTGTGGCAGTGCAGCCAGACGAGCCAGGCGAGCGATCACAATGGCGAACGTTGCAGGAGTGCGCCAATGTACAAGGCGGAGTGAGAGAGCCAGCGAGTGAGCGATTGCACTGGAAAACGGTGGCGCCACCGTCAGGTAGACTTTTTTTCCGATACGGTGGCGCCATCGGCTGGTGTGGTGGACACTATTTTTAGCAGCAAACTGGCTCAAGGATTGTCGGAAGACGTCTCTCTCTCTCTCTCTCTCTCTTTCTGACTGTGAGTGGCAGACGATAACACAGCTGCCGACGAAGACGACAGCAAACGATGACACACACACTAATAGTGTGACACTATCGTGGACAAACGAAGCGACCAGCAGGACTGTTTGGACTGACACTAAAGTGCAAAAGTCACCGGAGAGTTTATTGCTATCGTTCACAGCAGCTGGGTTGTACCAGCAGTGAACGAGGACGGTGCACTTCAGTTTTCAGACTCAGAGTGCATAAAAATATAAACGGTCGTACAGGAACATAACATTGATATTTGAGCCTACTGTTTGAACTTTAGAAAAGGGATCTAAGGGCGAGGTGGGCTGAATCTTTAACTTGAGCAAGGAGGGATTGTAAATTGCAAAATATCAAATAGGCATCGTTTTCTTTAATGGCACTTGATTGGAATCGGAAGTCAGATCTATTTGCTGTTTGCATTTGCATCCTGAACCGGTGGGACATCGGTAAATATCCGGATGCCGTGCATGTCTTTGATCTCATTCTTCAGAGCCTGTTGGAGAGTAAGTCATTAATCAATGTTTGTGCCTTTCAGCCTCGAACCATGACCGCTTACATTGGACACCGCCAAGTGCTGTTTGACCCGAGCAACGCCCTTGAACTCATCTGAGACGACGTACACCTCAAACATGGCACCACAACCACCTGAGATGTCCTGCACCACAATGTCGGCGGCATTTGGAAAGTTTCGTTTCAGCGCCTGCTTGATTATCTCTCCGCCAATATTGCCGCTGTTGCCGTTGGCCTGTGACACATATCGGTTGCCGCCGAAGAGGACTCGCTGAAGTGAACTTGACGTCATTGAGGAGAAAGCCTGCCAATTAAAAGAAAGGAAAAAAGATTTAAACAAAAGCGGACATAAGGCGCCAAACAGTGCACCTACCTTGAGAAAGGTAAGCCGGCTGGTCAACATGATCAGCTGTAAAGGTGACGATGATGGCGATGACGATGATGATCAGATGACCGTTTGTGTGTATTAGTCAACGTTGACGTGTTTCCCTTTCTCAAGCTCCTCTTCCAATTACCTTCCTAACGTGACCGGCACCTGAAGCAAATGAAGTATAAATAATAAATAATCCCCAGCAGCACACCGTCTGTTTTGCACAGCAACAGCAGCAGCCAAAACAACATTGATTCCACTTTCGGCCTCTGTTCACAGATGGGATCACTGCACCCGATTTGAAAAATGAAGCGAAAGAGATGATGCGAATGGGAGAGAGAAGGCAGAGAAGACTGAAAGGAGAGCAACTTTCGACGCTGGCTCTTTCTCTCTTTCTTCGCCGGTGTCCGCTATATGTGTGACTTATGCCCAGCAAGCAGGCAGGCAGAAGCCTAACAATCTATTAACTGGCAGCAGCTGTAAGTTGGCTGGTCTTCACCGATCGGTAAGGAGTGAGGAAGGGAGTGATGGGAAAGTGTGGAAGCAGAACACTCGCTGCTGCCCGACTGATCGGCTATACAGCTGCTGCTGCTGCTGAAGACTGTACAGCCGTCCCCTTGGATCGATGAATATGCAGAGAGAAGAAACTGGAAACTCGAAACTGAAGAGAGAAAAGGAGAATTGAGTTGCCCAGACGGTGGCCACATCGGTGCAGTACAGTACAGTACAGTGTGTAGAGTGCCAAAGGAGTCGAGAGCCAAATTGAGCCAAAACGGAGAGAGATGCGCACCGGCCAGCATCCCAACGGCAGTAGCAGCTTCATATTCGCTCATGTTCCTGTTCATCTTCACCGTTCAGCCATTCAGCACATCTTCGCCCGAGCACACACACTCTCTGCAAACAGACAAGCAAAGCTGGTGCTGTTGTCAGCGGCAGAACGTTTAGCGGACAGAAGAAGAACAGGAGAGCAGAATAAAAGAGCAGAAGCGGGAGATTTGCAGAGCCGCACATCTGCTGCTGAAATCAGAACCAGATCCCAACCAGACAGTGCTCAATGAAAGAGAGTGAGTGAGTGTGAGTTAGTGTCTGGTGCTGGTTCGACCACCATTACCAGCAAAAGTTTGCACTAGTCACACTGCAGAACTACCATTCAACTCTGCTCGACATTGACCAGAATATAAAACAGGACATTTTTTCAAGTGCTAAATTTCAATTTGACTCACTGATTTCCCGTGCACATCTCGACTAAAACAACCACTTACTATTCTCCTGAGTTGAAACTAAGAAGCATTAGGAAAACTAGAAAACTAGAGAATTTAGCAAGTCAAGTGAAGTGTTTTCATGAAGTTCTACCGCGGCAACGAGCCGGGCAGCATCAACGGAGCACCACCACCACCAACTGAAGTCAATCAAGGAGGACAGGCAGATCATCAGCAGCAGCACAATCCAGACCACCAGCACCTGCTCGAACCGCCTGGAATCCAGCAAAACCCGCACTTTCCCACCTCTTTTGGAGCACCAAATCGGACGCCCCTGCAGCAGCTGCGACAGGTGATCCTGCACGGCAGCAGCGAGCAGCGCATTCTCATCGCCCACGAGACACGACAGGCAATTGCCGCCGCAGAGATGGGAGACATCAGACGGCTATCGCCGCCGGGCCTCAAAGAGGTAATTTGGGATTTTATAGAAAACTTCTGTTTTGACAAAATCTAATCTCCCATTCAGGAACTGGACCCGGCCGAGGATGAGCAGAAAAATTGGAAGGGCATCATCATAGCCCTGCTCGTCATCTCCACCATCTGCTCCTTCATTCTCCTTTCCATCGTCCTCCTGACCCCCAGTAAGTTGTATTGCTACTTTTATGATGTTTTTATTGTAGAGAGACGAAAAAAAGAGTATGAGCTGATAGGGAAACTTTATAACTAAAGATAGAGAATAACTAACTCACTGTAGTGAGATACACTACTCTAAATAGAGTTGGTGATCAGTGATTGCAAGTTGCAAAACCACAGAGGTTCTAGCATTTATAACTATCATTCAATTCTTTTCCGAAGACATGACCGAGTTCTCCAAGCGCGAACAGCTCAAATTGGAGGACTTTGTGCAGAAAGGCTACGAATCGACGCACTACAACGGCACCTGGCTGAGCAACACTGAGCTGCTGTACCGAGAGCAGAATGGCAGCATCTCTATCTACAACATCGCCACCAAGCACCGGGAAAGTCTCATTGACGGGGCGTTGGCGGTAAGTGTTCTGGGAAAGGCCATGAAATGGTTTTTATGTGTGCTTTTTTGTTCAGAGCCACTACGCCGCCGAGCGGTACTCCATCTCCAGCGACCACCGCTACCTGCTGCTGGTGCACGACGTGAAAAAGGTGGGCCACCACAGCACCCTGGCCCGATACACCGTTTTCGACACGAAGATGGCCATCTTCACACCGCTGGTCAGCAAGGGCGACGACAGTGAGCACCACCAGTATGCCGCCTGGGTGCCCAATCACGAGCTGATTGTAAGTCACAGAGTTTGATTGGAAGCCCAAAAAGCATTCATTGATTCTCTTTCAGGTCGTCGTTCACAACAACAATATCTACCTCTACACACAACGGGGCGAACTGAAGCATACGCTGACGGCCACCGGCAGCGACAACTTCCTCAACGGAGTGCCCGACATGACCTACGAAGGTAAGGATGCTGTTTAAATGATGCTGTCAAACACACTTGAACCTAACGAACCAATCAACTGCCCATTTAGAGCACATCTGGAAATCGGCGCAGGGCCTGTGGATGCACAGCTACGTGGGCGGATGGGCCATCCTCTACGCCTCCATCGACAACAGCGGCGTAGACCGACTGCCGTACATCGTCTACGGGCGGAATGCCAATGACACCTCCTCGGGTGGAAGCAGTGGAAACACCTCATCCGGTGACGCCTCCCCCACCTCTCCCATCACTGGAGAAGTGCCCACCGATGACCGGCAAACGGAGACGGCCACCGGCTCTGCCGCCTTTTCCAGCGGCGCCTCCTCTTTCCCGAAGCTGTACACCTATCCCTACCCGAAACCAGGGCGAACGCTGCCCCGACTGCGACTGCACGTCGCCAAGTTTAACGACCTCCACAAGATCGTCTACAAGAACGTCGAGGTGCGCCCGGTGGACGGTCTGGTGGATGGAAGTGCAGCCTCCCCGTTCTCCGACCTCATCCTCTGCACGGAGCCCGTTTGGGTGTCCGAGTACGAGTTCATCGCCACGTGGACACGCCGCCAGCAGGACGTGATCATCGTCAGTCGCTGTCGCGAGGACAAGATGGAGTGGCGTTGTGAGCGACTCAACGAGCAGCGCCAAATTCGAAAGTTGGGCTCGCTGGTGCTGCACTCGAGGCCGGTGGTGTCTCCGAGCGGTGACCGCCTCTTCCTGCGCCTGCCCGTCTCCGACGGGGCAGCCGGTACCTTCAGTCACATTGCCATGATCTACATGAATCATAACAACAACAACAACAACTATAATCGAAACAGCAATGCTGAGCAGAAGCAGGTGCAGTACCTGACGCACGGTCAGTTTGTCGTCAGTGAGATCTTCGCCTATCGGGAGGACCTGCAGACGGTCTACTACGCCGCCACCAGCATGGAGGAACCGGGGTTGAGGTAAGACTGATACATTTTCTAAAAAATCAAAATTTAATCCCACTTTTTCCACATACCAGACACATCTACTCGCTGAAGCACCACAACAACTCAAACGAGCGGAAGATCATCAGCTGCATTAGCTGCCGCGTAAACGAGAGCTGCCTTTTCAACAGCGCCCGCTTCGCCCCCGACGGCCGCCACTTTGTGCTGGAGTGCATGGGGCCCGACTTTCCCACGCACTACCTCATGGACACTGACACTGAGATGGTGCTCGAGGTGCTGGACGACAGCGCGGCACTGCGCAGTTGGGCAGGCACTCGAATGATGCCCAAGATTCGACACTACTCCATTCTGACGCCGCACTCCTACTACATTCGCCTGCAACTGATCATCCCGGCGGGAGTGAACGAACTGGACGACGCCAAGTACCCGCTGGTCATCGAGACGAACCGCCTGCCCGGCTTGCAGTCAGTTAGTTACCAGAACAAACTGGACTGGTCGCGCTACCTGACCAGTCGGCGGGAGTACATCACGGCGAGGGTGGACACTCGGGGCAGCGCCTACCAGGGCGACCGGCACCTGTACTCGGTGTACCAGAAGCTGGGAGAGCCCGAGTTGGAGGACCTGAAGGTGGCTCTGGCGTACATCAAGCAGCTGCCCTATGTGGATGACTCGAAGATTGCGGTCTGGGGCACGGAGTACGGCGGATATCTGGCAACGGCGATGCTTGCCAGTGAGAACCAGGTCGCCTGTGCGGTGGCAGTTTCGCCTATTACCAGCTGGAAGAACTACTGTAAGGGCTGTAAACAAGTTCAAAAAGGGAATTTAGCTAATCACTCGCTTTTAACTTTACACAGTGTCCGTCTTCTCGGAGCGGTACATGGGCAAGCCGGAGGAGAGCTTTCTGGAGTACAAGCAGACGGAGCTGAGCAAGTACGCCGTGGCACTGCGAGGCCGCAATCTGCTGCTGGTGCACGGCACCACCGACCGGCGCGTCAACATTCAGCACAGTATGCAGCTGATGAAGAGTCTGACCGCCAGTGGGGTCCAGTACCGGACACAGGTAAATGAGGGAGGGTGGTGTGGAAATAGAAATAGAACTTCATAAACTCTCTTTTCTCTCCTCAGCTGTACCCGGACAGCGGTGCCCTGGAGACCTGGGACCAGCTGGTGCGACTGCACTTCTACCGGACAATGGAGGACTTCTTCGCAAAGTGCTTCCAGGTGGAGGAGGAGGACGTCGAGGATGACATCCTTCCCATCACCAAGGTCATCAAGGGCAGGGTGAAGCAGTCACAGCAGCAGCAACAACAGCAACAGCAGCAGCAGCAGAACTCCAACAACTGACACCAGCAACTAAAACTTCTTTCCTCCATCTTTCCTACCCCTAAACAGCGGCAATCGCAACCTCCCCGTGATCACACACCTCCTTTTGCACTACCCAACTCAAATCGGCCAGCGCACAAACTTCAATCACTTCATTAACTTCCTTCTCTAGGACCAAACACACAACTTGTTCTCATCTCCTCATTTCCACCTCCTCCCACCGCTGCACATACACCCCGCATTCATCCGCCTAACTTCTTAACTCTACCCCAGCAATAAGACAGAGTCCCAAATTGCCATCAAATATAACTGACCAATCAGAAAAAGCCAACTTTGCACAACCTGTCAATCAAAGCACAACTGTAGAACTGTACAAAGCCTCTTCAGATGTAACATCAGAAAAAGGAACGCGTGTGTTTATGTGCGTGTGAAAGAACCATTTCATCACTTTCCTCTTTAATCTTTTTTGTTTTTTAATCCTTGTTATTTTGTTTCTTTTCATGTACCTTCTTTTTTATTCTAGAAATATTAAAATAAAAACAAGTTTGTTTATTCATTTCACATTTGTATTTGCAATGAAAAGGTTACAATGAAATGTCCAAATTCCAGTTGGCAGTGCATTTTTTCGAGTTCCTGGATCTCAGGCCCCTCTGGCCGAATGACTCCAATTCGTTTGCCTGAATTTTTGTTGAAATTAATGCGATTTTTGCGCCAAGTTTGTGCAAAATCGGTGACTAATGAGTGTTTAATGGTAGAGCGGGTAGCTAAAGGGAGCGCAGCATGCCGTAACAGCGTCTCTGAGCAATACGCCAATGGTTTAGTTAGTCGCACAATTAACACTCACTGCACGGTGAGACGGACAGAGAGAGGGGCAAGACCGTAAGTAGCAGGGGTGGGAATCGAGTCCACTTTTCCGCTGTAGCTACACAGCCAACGTTACGCGCCCTCTAGCGTTGGCTGTGTTGCTACAGCGGAAAAATGGACTCGATTCCCACCCTTGGTAAGTAGCATTCGCTAATTAATGCCACTCAGTGCGGCAGTGGCAGTGTGTGATATAGCACCCAGCCACTTGTTGGGCCGCCCCCTTTAGAGCACTGAGCGAGAAGGGAGAATATGGCACCAAAGTAGGCATAGCTGGCTGAAGGGGCTAGACTGAGTGAGGTACGCTGCGAAAAACGCACACCAAGCCAAACAGACAAAGACAAAGACAAAGAGAACACGACGACCACCACCACCACCAGCAAAAGCCGTGAACGAGCTGCAGATCATCTCAAGAGCTAATTGCCCTTATCAACATATCAACATATCAACACCGAAATAATCATGTCACCTGTTTTGAGAAAACGAAAAGCTTCAACTGTCTCAGCACCCTTTGCAGAAATTGGTAGTGAAGAAAGTGAGATAAGTGATTCAGAAGTGGAAGATAAAGACTACATTGATGCCCCTGCTCGCAAATACAACTGCCCTTTGCCCGAGTGTGAAACAACGTGGAAGAAGCCAAGTGATTGCCGTATTCATTTTCGAAGCAGGCACACTCAAGTACGCCCCTTCAGTTGTGCATTTCCATCCTGTAATCACCGGCCGTTTAGTGTAAAATCAAAGGCCATTTCTCACATTTTTGAGGCGCATTTTCTGGCTAGCAAGTGCCAAGCACCAAAGTACTTGAAAGTAGATCAAACAGCATTGGATGAAGAAGCGAAACTGCTGTGCCCCCTCATATTGGGCAATGAGGAGTACAAAAGAGGAGATGACAATGAGGAGTCAACTGAAGACACACTTCCTCACTTTGACGCCATCTATCAGAACCCTGCCACTGGTTACTTAATTTGTCCAGTCAGTGGATGTAATCAGAACGTAAAACGTCTAAAAGACTTAAAAAATCACTATCTACTTCACCTTAACAGCAAGTGGCAAACCTACAGATGTGTCTTCAATACTGCTCTCTGTCAGTTCTCCTCCAACAAAAGATCCAACATCAAACGTCACATTTGTGCAGTGCACGCTCCCCGGTTTTCCCCTGATGATGACCAAATCAATTCCTTTATACATCAAAACACTGACGTGTTAAAGAAGGTCGATGCTCTCTTTAACTGTGCGCTGAAGAATTTTCCTAAAATGATTGGTCGTAGTGCAATATGCCCATTTGCAAACTGCCGGAAACTATATTCTTCTGTAGGCGGTGCTTTCAGCCATTATCTTTCACATACCAACGCAAAGCCTTATCGGTGCTCCAAATGCAACCTAACTTTCGGACGAGAATCTCTTATTCAAGGGCACATTCTTGCACTTCATTTCAATGTTCCACACAGCCTGCAAGGAAGTGTGGGCTCTGCGCTGAAGGCAGAAGCCAAACAGTATGTTGAGGTACTGAATGATGTACTTCAACAGGAGAAGGATGCCTTCACCAAAGGCCTTCATAACATGCCCGAGCATTTTCCTTCATCTGAAATTGATGACAAAGCCACAGACTGGGATGACGACCCGTATGAAGACGAAGAGAAAGCCGAAGATGATAGAACAAAGCTGTCCACTGGAAAGAAGCCAACTCTGTTCGCAGTGGAGGCGATTCCCGCCGGCCGCCTAGTCGCCCTGGTGGCCCGAATCGTCGGCGTCGAACTGGACGTCCACCAGCCGATCAACCTCTACGCAAAGGAGCAGCTGAAACCCGAGTTTATCAAGGTATGGTAATTGTTTTCTTCAACACAACCTAGACTTTGTACAACTTTCTTTCACCGCAGATCAACCCCTTCCACTGCATTCCTACACTGGTGGACACTGACGGCTTTACGCTGTGGGAGTCGGCGGCCATTGCCTCCTACCTCATTCAAAGCCGAAAGCCAAACTGTCATCTGTACCCAGCCAAAGACCTCAAAAAGCGCCTCACCATTGATCAGTTTCTGCTGTACAACACCGGCACACTGTACCGCGCTCTCACCGACGTCCACTTTGCCGTCTTTCAGGGCACTGACCCTGTCCTCAAGTTGGAACGCCTCAAAGAGGTTCTAGGAAAGGTGAACTCATTTTTGGAAGTTACCAAAGGACAAATGGTGGCAGGAGGTGATAAGCTGACACTGGCAGACATTGCCCTCTACGTCAACCTAGACTACGTCGATGTGATCAAGTTCGATATTACTGAACTTGCAGCTCTGCAGAAGTACAGAGCCCAGGTTAAGAAGGCGCTGGCGCCCTACAACACCGATGGCTGGTACGAGCAGCAGCAGGCGCTGTTCATAGGGCAGATGGAGGGACTGAAGGCACAGTTCGCCGAGGTTCACGCAAAGGCAAATGCTTGAGCTCGTGAATCGCAATATTTTAATCGCAACTTAACTGTTTATTTAGTTTATTTGTCGTTTTGTTTGTTCACTTCAGTTTTTGTAAATCTAAGCCGTATGCACAATCACACTGTTGCCTTATACTTGCTAAGTAGAATAACGTCAAACTTGTGACCACGATGATTACGAGAAAGAATGGAGAGAGGGATGAGGTATGTGTGACCATTTTAAGCAGTGAAAAGTCAGAATGAAGTGTTCTTTTTCAAACTAAGCATTTGTAACCGGATTTCCTCCTCCTCCTCCTCCTCCACCTCCACCTCCCCCTTCAAAGGAGATGTTCGGCCTGTTGCCCGTAATTAAATCGCTCATGTTTGGTGTTTCAGAAAAGAGTGCACAAAAATCGCCAATTTTATGCAACTTTCCCGTTCTGCCAATATAGAGTATCAAGTGGCCTTTGTGTATCATTGCGTAACTGTATGAAAAAGAAAATAAAGGTATTCGAGGTCTGAAATCACAACAACTTACCATCTCGTAAGACGACAAATATCTCCCGGTTGTAGCAATGCGCCGACCTCATCGTAAACGCACATATTTATTGAGCCTGTCTTGTCAGCCACCTTGAAAATCCGAATTTCATGTTTTTCTTTTGAAGTATATTTGGTCACTGAAAAAGAAACATCAAATGTGATATTTTAAAAAATTGGTAAACAAGGCACTCTTCTAAAAGTAAAAACTGCTTCTTACCGCAATCAAGTACCACCACTTGCAGGTTGAGATTTTGGCTTCCTGGCTTGAGGTTACATATCGACTCAAACTGTGGAACCCTATTTGTATCAGCTGCATTGCGATCGTTTAGAGGTCGCTCCATCAGCGAAGAATCCGTCAGTTTGAGTCAGTTTTCAATTTTCAAAAAAAGAAAAACTTGTCAGCTGGAACGAAGCCGAAAAACAAATAAAATATTGGCGCTCAACCGTAGAAGACGTAACTGAAACACGTGTGCGAGTTGTTTTGATTTTCTGATTCTTTGCCTTTTTTACATTTGTGATTTTTTGAGAGTTTTAAAAACTTGACCTTATCACCTGATGCCCTCGCAAACAGCTAAAATGGAATCTGAAGTGAGTTTGTGATAAAAAACAGTGTTTAACATTTGATAAACATTTTGCTCTAGGTTAACATCGATTTCAACGTGGACGGCTCCAAGTTTGACGAGTGCAACGCTCTAGTACTGCCTGATAAAAAGACTGCCGAAAAGTCGGCGAAGAATAAGAATGCATCTAAAAACAAAACTCTCAAACCAGTACTTCTTTCGAAAAAGAAGCGAAAGAAGCTTGAGAAAGTTTTGGAGCGAAAGGGCAAAAAGCTAAACGTAAGGTTCACTCTAATGATTTGCTTCTGTTTTATTTTGACTCTGAAACTTTATTGCAGAGGGCCAAACTCATCAGTGATCTACAGCAGTTTCAAGTCAAAGATAAGGAGTTTGAGATGATGCCCTCTACCAGTGTTATTCAAACGGCAGGACGAAAAAGGTTTGTTCAGTTTCTTTTTATTCGAGTTTTAACTAATCATCCAAAACCTTTGTGTAGGCTAAACGACGTCCTCAAGCTGTACAGTACCATCAACAATACCAATGAAAAAGACGCTATGAGCGCAGGAGAGTACAAAAGACTGAAAATTCCGCGGATCAAGCTGAAAAACAATGAGAAAAACTTTAACCGTACAGTAAAGTCTGCCAAGGATCTCAACGTGGTTGGTCAGGAGGAAGAAGAGGAAGAAGAAGCAGAGAGCACTGAAGAAGAGGAAAGCTCCGAGGATGAGGTCCTTTCCTCTTCTGAAGATGAAGCGGCTGAGAAGAGCAAAGAAGAGGATGCTCCTGTGATTGCACCACCAGCAAGTGAAGCGCCGGTTAAGCCTGTTCCCACAGAAAAGCCCGCCGCCGCCGCTTCAAAGGACCCTGCCGCCAAGAAAAGCGTCTACGTCACCGTAAACCGCCCTGAAGCGGTGCAGAAGGGGCGCCTGAAGTTGCCCATTCTCTCTGAGGAGCACCGCATCATGGAGGAGATCATGTACCACCCGGTGGTGATCATCTGCGGCGAGACGGGCAGCGGAAAGACCACCCAGGTGCCTCAGTTTCTCTACGAGGGCGGCTACACCATGAACGGGAAGATGATTGGCGTCACTGAGCCTCGACGGGTGGCGGCCATTTCAATGTCGAAGCGAGTGGCCCATGAGCTGAACCTCAGCTCAAAGGAGGTTTCCTATCAGATTCGATTTGAAGGCAACGTAGGCGAGCGAACGGCCATCAAGTTTATGACGGACGGTATTCTCCTCAAGGAGATTCAGCATGTGAGTTTTCTTTGCATTGAAAGAGAGATCTTTTTACTAAACTCCTGTCTTCTTTTTCCTGTTTAGGACTTTCTTCTTCGCAAGTACTCGGCGATCATCATCGACGAGGCGCACGAGCGAAGCCTCTACTCGGACATTCTCATTGGTTTCCTCTCGCGAGTGGTCAAGACGCGGCAGAAGCAGGGTGACCCCCTCAAGCTGATCATCATGTCGGCGACGCTGCGGGTGGAGGACTTTACGGAGAACAAGAAGCTCTTTAAGGAGACGCCCCCTGTCATTAAGGTACGTTGATGAAATGACTGTTTTCACTGTTTGCTTTATTTACACACATTTTTAACTACAGATCGAGTCTCGGCAGTTTCCCGTGAGCGTGCACTTCAGCAAGCGCACCAATGAGAACTACCTGCGAGAGGCGTACAAGAAGGTCTGCAAGATTCACTCCAGCGCCCCCTCAGGCGGCGGCATTCTCGTCTTTCTCACCGGTCGACAGGAGGTGAACTCGCTCTGTCGGATGCTCAGGGAGAAGTTTCCCTTTCGACTGCCCAATCAGCTGGAGGAACATGAGCAAAAGAACTCGGCTGAGGAGGGGGAGGAGGAGGGGGAAAAGAAGAATGAAAAGGAGGAAAAGGGGAAGTCGGCAGACAAAAAGAACTCCACTTCTGCTTCAAAAGGGAAAAATACAATCAACCTGGACCTGTACTCGGTGACGCCGACAGTGGAGAACAAAGAACGGGTCCTCGACGACTTTGACTACTCTGACGACGAGTCGGAGAAGGGCGATAAAGAGGATGAAAGTGACCAGGAGGAGGAAGATGATGATGAGAAGGAGGAGGTGACCACCAACGAGCCACTCTACTGCCTGCCACTCTACTCCATGCTGCCCAATCAGCAGCAGGCGCTGGTCTTCAAGGAGCCCCCTGCGGGCAGTCGGCTCTGTGTGGTGGCCACCAACGTGGCGGAGACCTCGCTCACCATTCCCAACGTCAAGTACGTCGTCGATACGGGAAAGGTAATAGAGCAAAGAAAGGACCGATTCTTTGAGAACCTTTGCTAACAGTATCACCTCTTCTCCTTTGCAGATCAAGAACAAGGTCTACGACCACGTGACGGGCATCTCCACCTTCCTCATCGAGTGGACCTCGAAGGCATCGGGTGACCAGCGGGCTGGCCGTGCCGGGCGAACCAGCGCCGGCCACTGCTACCGCCTCTACTCTTCTGCCGTGTACAATGACCAGTTTCGGAAGTACGCCGAGCCGGAGATTCTCGTCAAGCCAATTGACGACCTGCTGCTGCAGCTGAAAGCGATCGGCATTGACAACGTTGCCAACTTTCCCTTTCCCTCGCCGCCGAGGATTGAGTCGCTGCTTGCCGCAGAGAAGCGCCTTGTGATGCTCGAGGCTTTAAAAGAGGAGACTTTTATCGGTCGAAAGAAGGCGAAGATTGTCCGCTCCAGTATCACGCCCATTGGCCGCGTGATGGCCACCTTTCCCGTTAACCCCCGCTACTCAAAGATGCTTTGCCTCTCTCGGCAGTCTGACCTGCTCCCTTTCACGGTGGCCATCATCTCGGCGCTTACTGTTCAGGAAATTTTTCTTCACGGCGAGAATGGAGGTGGGAGCAAAAGCAGCGAACGGGCGAGAAACGTCTTCTTTGGAAGCCCCCACTGCCTGACGCTGGGCGACCTGATGGCGGTTCTGGCGGCGGTGGGCGCGGCCAACTACGAGGGCGCCCTCAGTGCCAAGTTTTGCGAGCACTACGGCCTGCGATACAGCGCCCTGGTGGAGATCAACAAACTGAGAGGTCAGCTGGCGGCGCAGATCAGGGAGATCACCGGCGCAGCGGTGAACACCATTTCCACGGCTGGACTGGAGCCGCCCACCGATGAGCAGGTGCGCCTCCTGCGACAGCTCTTTCTCTGCGGCTTCATCGACCACGTCGCCAAACGGGTGCCCGTCACCTACGTCAACGAGGAGGACGGCCAGGGAAATGTGGTGAAGCGAGTGGTCGCCCGGAACAGCTACCAGAGCATGGAGGTGGACGGACCGGTGTACCTCTCGCCCCACTCTGCTCTGCAGCGAGAGACGCCCGCCTACGTCGCCTACCACGACCTGTACGAGTCGGGGGCGGAGGGCAGCGGGCGGATGTACATGCGAAATGTGGTGGTCATCGAGGCGGCCTGGCTGCCGCTGTACGCCGCCAAGCAGTGCACCTTCAGTCAGCCGCTCAGCGAGCCGCCGCCCCGCTACGACCCGGCGGAGGACGCCGTCAAGTGCCACCGGAGCGCCACCTTTGGCCCCCACCTCTGGCCGCTGCCCACCGTCGAGCTGGAGTACCCCGAGTGCACCGACCGTTACTGCCACTTTGCCTGCGCCCTCTTCAGCGGCGAGGTGATGCGCTCGCTCTCCAAGAACGTCCCCTTCCTCAACAGTCCGCCGATCATCTTCACCAAACCCTGGGGCATGGTGCAGCCCAAGGTGGAGAAGGTGGTGGGGGCGTTGGCCAGCCGGAAGATTGCCTCGAGGAGGGCGCTGCTGGCCGCCTGGCAGAATAACTCCACTTGTAAGTAGTCTCTTAAGTGCTTTATTTGGGTTTGGAGGGGTTAATTTTTATATTTTTTTCAGTTTTGCTCGCCGAGTACCTCGACTGGCTGCAGGAATCACAGAGNAAGATTGCTTCGAGGAGAGCGCTGCTGGCCGCCTGGCAGAATAACTCCACTTGTAAGTAGTCTTTTCAGTGCTTTATTTTTTGTTTGCAGGGGTTAATTTTTATAACTTTTTGTAGTTTTGCTCGCCGAGTACCTCGACTGGCTGCAGGAATCACAGAAGGAGAGGGTGCAGGCAAAGTGGCCGCCCACCTAAGGTCGCCGCATCGTTAGCCGCATCGAGAGAAGTCGCTGTACTCGTAGACGAACTGGCAGTCCTTCTCTTCGTTTCCTGTTTGCTTTGGAATGCCATTGTTGTTGCTGCCATTGCTGCGGTCACCATTGCCTTTACTGGAATTGCCCGTAGATGAGCTACTGCTGCTGAGCTGTAAAAGGGCAACGCGAAAATTAATTACGTGTAATTAGCCTTCACTTCTGTTCTGTCTGCTTCTATTTCGGTACTTTACCTGCATGTTTTCCTTCTCCTTTTCACCATCATTACAGTCGTTTTCTTCGTCTGTGATGTTTTTCTGACCAAAATAAAAAGTTTTACTCGGTCTGTTTTGCTGTGGTTTGGTCTCTGGTTCTTCAGCTGTCTCTCGAGCTTTCCTTTCATCCCCGCCAAAGACAAATCTGATAGAATTGGAGAAAAGTTAGATTGAACACTAACTGAAGATAGACTTACGTTTTCAGCGGTTTCGATGTGTTTGCTTCAACAACAGGTGTCTGCGTTTGATGATCAGCTTGCTCTTCTTGTTTGACGGTTGTTGGCCACTGGTGATGATGATAATGTGGACAGTAGGCGTACTTGTGCTCCACCTGTTCGTCCACCTCCTCTTTGCTGTCCTCCAGAGTTTTGGTGGTGACCAGTGGCCCAGTATCGGAGACGACCTTTCCATCCTCAATCACAATCTGCCGCTGAACTCTCGTCTCAATCTGCTTCGTTCGGTGGTTGATGATTCGCTTTGTGGTGATCAGTTCTAGGTGGGCGGGAAGACATTACTACTGGTTAGCCGGTGTTTGTTTTAGTTTTTTACTTACCATTTGGATCCATCACCAGCGGTGGCTTCATGTTCACCTTTGCTTCCACTTCTAATGATGTTGAACTCCACTTTGCACAACTACTTAATTTAATCTGTAGTACTGCTGCTGCCGCTGTTGCCACTGCTCAAGTGGTGATCGAACTGTTCAACAGCAACTGAGGTGAACACGAACAGAGAGAGAGAGAGAGAGGGAAAGGGAGCAGACAATTTTCTGAGGCGAGAAAACCGTTTAACGCGTGAAAGGAACTCACACACAGACTCAAAGCAGAGACTGAGACAGAGATAGGCACGAACAATCGCTCGTACAGCACACGAGTCCTCCTCCTCCTTTAACTTTGAGTGCTGGTGGTGGTCTTTTGCAAACTAGTTTACATTGATGCACAAACAGACACACACACACACTTACTTACCACTCACTTGATGCACTCTCTGAATGACTGAGACCTCGTCGTCGATGTGCACACAATTCACGTTCACTGCACCACCACCATCACCACCACAGTCATCTCATGTCTCCAGTCAATGGACACACAATGCATCCACTGATGTGCACTGCTCGTGGTGGTCAGCAGTTGATGCCTTGCCGCTGATATGACTGACAAACTGTTATGGTCACTTTGTTCAGTTGTAGTAGTAGTTGTAGTGCTGGGAGAAGACTGGGATGAAGACTGAGACGATGTTGCAACTGTCAATCCGTTAACGTAATACCACCACGGCCAGTGAAAGTGAGAGTGGCAGCGTGAAGACTTCTCCTCTTCTTCTTCGTCTTCTTTTCACGGCGAGGAAGTAGAGGCAGCAATGCTGGCTGATTGTGCGCTTGGTTATCGAAAAGTCATCGTGATCGAGGGCTAGCCGCTGAAAGATGAATAGAAGAGATGAGAGGGAAACAAGTTTCGATTGCACCTTTGTTCACTCCTTTTCTCTGTGACTACTGCTCATCACTGTCTTCATCATCTGTTCATCTTTACGCGAATCACCAGCGAAGGACAATTGGTTAGACAGTCAGTCAGTCAGTTTCCTTCTCTGTGCAAGATGGCAAATCAGCTTAGGCAAACACTGCTTCATCTTCAATACCATCGGCACCTCTTCTTGCACCCGCTTGCATCGTCATCATCACCCAGCGGCGTTTTTGCATGAATTTCCGGACGGCAACAAGAAATCCTCCTCTCCCCCTCTTTCATTTCGAATCGAATCGAAAGGAGATGTTCCGCCACTTTACCAGCAGTGTACCACCGCCGTCCTGCACATCAGATGGCAGTGTAGCACACAGATGAGCAGGCTGCTGCTACATGGCCACTGCTGCAGTGTGAACTGGACTGGCCAGTACAGGACTGGACTGATAGAATGCTATCGTGTCCAGAGATGAAGCAGATGAGATGTGGTGAGCAGCAGCCGCAGCTGTATAGGAGCGTCCATCTGACGCGTGTTTGTGTGTGTTGCCAGCAGCGTCTGAGCGTTGTTGATTGCTTGGTCACAGTTGTGTCTGCCTCGGTGTTGCGCCTGTCACCAGCGCCTGCAACCTCTTCTTCATCATCTTCAACCAGGCCTCCTCTTTCTCTTCTCTAATGGGTGTCCCTTATCACCACCACAGCCAGTACTAATTAGCCTCTACTACCTACTATACAAGCAGAAATAGGATATGTGCAACCATCGGTGCAGCAGAGCGCGCCAACCGCAGCCACTGTCTCTTGTGATGGAAGTGGCCAAAAAGAAGTGGTAGAAGTGTGTTTGCCAGCGAAGAACCGGTGGTTGACGTCTCACCTTTTCCTCTCCATTTCTCTTAAAGTGATACTCAATTATCGACCTTAATTTACTGGAAAGTTTTGAGTAGAAGAAGAAGATAGGACCTTTATTGAGCCGTCGTCTGCAAAGTGCATTTGCTGCCAATCGTTGTGCCTCTTCTTTTTCTCTCTATCGATCGTCACCACCGTCCCCACCACCTGTCACCACCATGAATCGGGCCTTCTTCAAAATTCGCTACCTATTTTGTGCTCGCTTCGACTCGCAGCATCTTCTCAAGCTGCTGATCGGCTTCAACGTCTTCCTCGGCATTTACCTGCTCTTTCTCTCTACCAACTACCGACACTACAGCGAGTATGCCCACAATCGACCTGAATCGGCAGCGGCACTGCCACCACCTGCGCACATTCAGGTTCGTTCGTTTGTTTGTTTGTACTGTTTTCAACAAAATAATAAAACCCTAACCTCTCAAAATGTCTCCCTTAGCCACTAGCCAATAGTGATACCGCCGAACTGAACGCCAAATCAAACGCAAACCCACCAGTTCTGGTCAACAACGAGAAAAATGTGATAGCCGATGGAGCCAACTTCAACAGTGGAAATGACAACGCACAGCCTGCACCGCCAGCAGCAGCAGCAGCCAAAGCAAATAAGCAAGCAAGCGCCGATCAACTGAATGTGGTGGAGAAAATTTACGACTCCAACAATAAACTGGTGGTGCCACAGGAGACGGCGGCTGATAACGGCACCCCGGATGCCAGCTATAAACGGGTGGAGGAGGACGACAAGCAGACGATGGACGAGAATGACAAGCTGCGAATTGAGATGATGGGCGACAAGTCGGGCAACAGTATAATTCATGACTCGGAGTTCACCGGAGAGAAACAGCAGCAGAATGGCAAAAACTCAGTGATAGGCAAAGCGGATGAAGGCAGGGCAAAGGGAGCTGCAGCAGTTGTGGCTAATGGAAAAGCCGCCGGAGACCAGAATGACATCATCAGTCGCATCCTCGACCACAACCAGCACCTGGCGAATGGGACGGGAAAGGGCAGGCTGACCGTTCCCGAGGTGATCAACGTCATTGGCGGCAACGGGGGCGTTGAGCAGGCCTGGTGGAAGGCAGAGGTGAGGGGCAAGTACGCCGTCCTGCGCGACTACATTCCCGGGACGGTGCAGGCAGAGCCACTGGCCCTCTCCAGCATCACCCTCACCACGCAGGGCACGCCGGACTTTCTGCATCACATTCTCCCGCTGGTGGATCGCTGGGAGGGCTTCATCTCCGTTTCGGTCTACGCTCCTGGGGATGACTTTCGCCTGGCCGTCAACGCCATTCACTACCTGCGCCAGTGTGGGCTGGCAGGCGTCGCTGAGCGCGTCTACTGGCACCTCGTCTACGACACGCTCTACCCTCCGCCTCTTCCCTTAACGATGCTCTCTTCCAATAACTTGAACGTTTCAGCAGCGGCTCCCCCTGCCGCCTACCTCGCCACGCCTCACTTTGACTGCAACCTGCCCCTGGAGGAGAGCATGAAGCTGCTCAGCTTGGCCGGGGATTTTCGTGCTGCCCAGTCGCTGCCCTATCCGATCAATGTGTTGCGCAATGTGGCCCGTCTGGGTGCCAAGACTCGGTACCTCTTTGCCAGCGATATTGAGCTCTACCCCTCGGTGGGCATTGTGCCCGCTTTCTTTGAGCTGCTGGAGCGGGAGAAACGGGGCCTGGTGCCCGAGGCGACGGCCAGCGGAAATCCGCACGTCTACGTAGTGCCCATCTTTGAGGTGAAGGCCAACAAGAAGCCGCCAAGGACGAAGAAAGAACTCCTGCAACTCTTCGCTGCCCGTAAGTGTTTTTGTAGTAATGCTCAAATCGAACTATACAGTTAACTTTTTTTAACTCCAATTTCAGGTGACGCAATATTCTTCCACCGCTACGTCTGTGATCTCTGCCAAAACTTTCCCGACCGAAATGTGTGGGTCAGCTCTGTGCCGACGAATGATTCGCTAAACGTCTTTAGGGTTACACGGCGCCTGCGAGAGCGCAGTCAGTGGGAGCCGCTGTACATTGGCACCAATGATGAGCCCTTCTACGATGAACGCCTCACCTGGGATGGGAAACGTGATAAGATGACTCAGGTAAGGCAAAAAGTTAATGTTTTTTAAACTAAAAGTCAATTCATTATTTGCAGATGTTCGAAATGTGCCTTAAAAACTACGACCTACTGATCCTCGACAATGCCTTCCTGGTGCACGCCCCCGGCATCAAGTACTACTCGGTCAAGGACGACACGAAGCGTCTTCCATTTATCAAAGCCAATCAAAAGGTGCATAATCTGCTGCTCTCTCAGCTTCGGCGGAAGTACGGCACGAAAAACAAGTGCTGATGAGCAGACTGTGGTTACTTGCTCTCATTTTCATTATCAGGTCACAACAGTATTGGCAATAGTACTTCTTCACCCTGTTATCTATTTATTATTCTATGTGCATTTTCTGTGCTGTGTTTCCTCTTCACTTTTTGCTCATTCACTTCACATCTTTTCACTTTTCTACTCTTCTTGATCGATCGATCCTCCTCCATTCACTCTCTGTACACTTTTCCATCTGAAACGCAAGCATGCTGTTGAACAATGCACAACTGATTGCAATTATGTTATGTTAGAAGCCCAGAGAATACTGGTCAAAGACCAAAGTTTCCTCTGGAGGCATTCATCTAAAATAAAATTTTTTCTAAATGATTTTAAATGAGTTTTCGAATTTCGAATCAGAAAAAAGTTGTGATCAAAACTTTTGATCACTTGTCACTTTAGAGCAGATGACTTTGTGCGGCGCCAGCAGCAGACGACGTACAGCGGCTGCATCAATCTTTTTTGTTTTTCTGTTCCCCTCTGCCAAAACACATGACCATCTGTGCAACTCGTTCAACGATGTTTGTTTGTACCACCATCAACACCATCATCTAACCGTTGTCACGAGACGCGCAGTTGAAGCACTGGCAGTACCTCGACATTACAGCTTTCTACGCCACTAACTTCAGTTGAAGTTGATCGACAGAATATCTGATCATCCATCATCATCATCAGCATCATGCGCCTCATCGGTGAACGTCTGCCGGTGATCGTCTGTTTGCTGGTGCTCTTCTGCTTCAGAATCCCCACAACTGGCGGCGTGGCTGCCACCGACGAGATACTCGAAGAAGCTTCACCAACGGAGGAGAAACTTCAAGAGACCGAAAGTGCAATAGAGAATACCAACAATGGTCAAGCCGATGAGGGCGACGTGCTTGAGGCGCCAAGCGAGCAAGACCAAAGTACCGGCGCCCAGGCAGACTCACCTTCTTCGGATGAGGGTGCCACTTTCGCAGAGGTACATTGGTCCCCTCTTTTGAAGTGCATCAGATCTAGAAACTAATCAAAAACCGCTTTCTCTCTCTTTCTCTCTGTCACTTAGCGTTATGTAAGCGAGTCGGGATCTTTCGTGCCTTCCAAATCGAAGCTCAAGCTGAACTGCACACCAGTCTACCGAGACGCCTCCAACATGGTAAGTGGCCATTTCCTTTGCTCTCTTTTTCTGTAGTCTGTATCGCTTGCAATCGCCTTTTTTTACACGCCTGTTTGCCTGCTCTCTGCAATCTGGCTCATTTGCGTGGCTTAATTTCCTTGAAGGCCAGTGCTACTGCTACTACTGCACTGGTCATTAGTTCAGTTTCGTTTCCTTCTTTTTTTACTATTCGACTTTCCTCTCGAGCACTAGTTTTGTGCAAGCCAAAGCTCTATTCTCAAACTCAGTAGTCTCCGTTCTTTTCGGTTTATTTATTTTTTATTGACAGTTTTTATGCTTTATTTTGATTGACTAATGAGGTTTGTTTAGGAGTGTATCCGTGTGAGTGTATGTGGCATTGATGGCATTCAAAGAGTAGCAAAGTATAGTATTTTTCAGTGTGTATGTGATTAGTCTGAACAGATCATTGAAGAGGCGAAGTGATGAGCAATTGGCAAAATAAAACATCTTTACAGGAGGAGGAGGAGGAGGATGAGGAACAGAGAGAGAAAAAGCGCGTATTAGAGCAAAGAAGGAGAAGTAGAGAAATATATAATTCTTGAGTATGAAGAATTAACTAAAAATAAACATTTGTAGAAGCAGGAAGGATAATCGGCAACTAGAGGTGTGCAAAAGAAGTAACGTGACACATGGCATTTAACAGAAGAACGAAAAAGACAAAGGAGAAGAAGGAGAAGGAAAAGGAGGTGAAGGAAGGTGTGAAAGAGGATGGAAAAAGTGTACAGAAGAAGTGTCAAGCTGAGAAGTTTAGCGTTCACGAAGCAGAGAATGATGATGATGTTGAGGCAGACAGCTGTAACGAAAGGAGATAAGAAAATAAAGTTGTTGTAATAAAATAGCTGAGGATGAGGATGATTTCTGTGTATCTGTGTGTGTGTGTTTGTGTGGTGATGATGAGGCTAAGAGCAGTTGAGATAAGATGAACATTATTTGTTTGTGTGAGTTAGTAGTCAGACTTTGAAAGGCTTCGCTTTGCCGTTTGCAGTTACTCTTTCAGTGATTGAACAACAACAACGACAGCATGTTTGATTTTCGAGGCATCGGAGAGTTAAGAGGCAATAGAGCATGCTTTTTGGTCAGTTTATCATTGCAAGGGGTGACCAGTTAGAGCGGGTAGAAGGAGGAGAAGGATAAAAAATCTTTTCTTCAAGAGCCAGCAGTTGATATCAGCATCATCAGGAAAAGAAGCGCATTTGTTTGATTCAAGGGATCGTTGCTGTGTGTGTTTCGTAATAGTGAGAGTGTAACTGTGTGTGTGCTTGATGTAATGATGATATAAGGAGGAAGTAGTAAGGAGAGGAGAAGAGGAGTGGTTGTTCCAAAGTTGACCAGAGATGAAGTGTATGGCAATTGCAGGAGTGGCTTATGTGAAAGCAAAAGAGCATGTGGGGTAGAGCAAGAGAGGGCATTCAGATTGTACCTGTAGAAAGTTGTAGTAGTCAGTTGTGAGTGAATGAGTCGAAGAGAAGTGAGAGTAATGCTTTTGGCGTACATAGTCCGTTTTTGTACATGGATGAATGAATGAACTGTTTTTCGTCTTGTTTAGTTTACATTTCCACGGCTTCGTCTTCTCGCTTTTTCTATATGCCAATGTCCATTGACTGTGGCGAGAAGGCCTCATTCTTGATGTTCAGCGAGGAGGCGCTGATGATGCCCAGCTGGTCGTGGCCGCCGCCGCTGCCAAGGTACATCACATTGTTGGCCGTCAGTGGCGACTGCTGATGTTGTTGTACCTGCTGCTGCTGTTGTTGCTGCTGCTGCTGGTTGAGCGATGCAAAGTAGTGGATCATGTTGCTCTGCGGCGACTGCGAGTGCAGTGAGCTGCCCAGACCGGAGCTGGTCGGACTGAGCGGACTGAGCTGCGTCGTGGTGGCGTTCACGCTCGAGTCCAGCTCCTCCTTGATGTACATGGTGGGCTTCATCGGGTCCAGCGTCTGGTAGCTGGTGGGGGCATTGCCGCTGTTGCGAATGTTAACCGATGAATTGGCCGATGTTGGCGGTAGCATGCCGGAGGAGCCGCTGGTCGGACTGTTGCCGTAGTGCTGTTGCTGGCCATCACTTGAGCCCATCTTGAACTCGTTCAAGCCAAAGACCACGGCCGCCTCATCTCCGGTCAGCGTCATCATCTGGTCGGCCTGGTTCTGTAGGCCACCGCCACCACCACCTGTGGCGTTCTGCTTTACAGCAGACTGCTCACTGCGGTCCATCTGCTGGTGCTGGTGATGGGAGTGGGAGTGGTGGTGGGAGGAGCTGCCAGTGTCCATTGAGTTGCTGGAAGACTGCTGGTTTAGCTGAGATTAGGGTGTGGAGTAATTTAGTTAGTTTTAAGTTTTTTTAGTAAATCGAACCCAGCANCCGGTCAGCGTCATCATCTGGTCGGCCTGGTTCTGTAGGCCACCGCCACCGCCACCTGTAGCGTTCTGCTTTACAGCAGACTGCTCACTGCGGTCCATCTGCTGGTGATGGGAGTGGGAGTGGTGGTGGGAGGAGCTGCCAGTGTCCATTGAGTTGCTGGAGGACTGCTGGTTTAGCTGTTGTTGGGAGGGTTGTTTATTTAGGATTGTTAGGACATTTAATCAGGCAAGTGACTTACCATGCCTTCCCAGGAGCCAGGCGGCAGACCGGCGGCAGCCGCAGCGGCCGCCACCACGGGCATCCCCGCCCCCGACTGGTACTCCTTGGGGCTGATGTTCATGTTCTGCAGCAGCTTGTAGAAGTTCTCCTGCATCTGTGCGAGTTCGTCTGCCTTTCGTCGTCGTTCCTCGGCCAGGATGGCGTCCATGCGAGCCATCTCCTCCACCATGCGGTGGTTCTCCTTCTTCAGCAGCTTCACGTAGTCCACACTGGCCTTCAGTATGGTGCCCTTGTTCTGCTTCATGTCCTTCACCATTTCGTAGTGCTTCGCCTCGTCGGCGGTGCGCGGCAGCAGCGTGCCCAGCTCCTTGATGCGGTCGTTGATGTTGTAGCGGCGGCGGCGTTCAATCTGATTGTGGTTGTCCTTCTTCTGGCGGTCCTTCTTCCAGGCGCTCATCTCCTGCTCCGTCAGCTGCGGACAGGAGGAGGAGACGGCGGTGGAGGTGCTGCTCATGCCCGACAGGCGACTGCCACTGCGGCTGCCGCCCATTCGCGAGCCGCCAGGCACGGCCACCGCTCCGCTCTTTGTCGCCGTCACCAGGCCGCCCTTTGTGGTGGAGCTGGTGCTCTCGCCGCCCTGCGAGTTCTGGTCGAGGTCGATATAGCCGCTGTGGGGGCCGCCGTGGGGAAAGGTCGCCGAGATGCTGTCGATGTCGTCGTTGACGTCGTTGCTGTCGAAGCCGATGCCGATGCCGTCGAAGACGTCGTCGAACTCGCTGGCGGAGGACGGCCCTCCGGACAGGGGCGACTCGGGGCTCAGGGGAAAGGGCGAGTTGGGTCCACCGCCGTGCTGGGGAGTGGTGGCCACTTTCGGTGGAGTGCCCACCAGCTGCTGCTGTTGCTGCTGTTGATGCTGTTGCTGGAGGAGCATCTGATTGAAGTTGTTGGTCAGCTGCTGCTGCTGCTGAAGGTTCACCGGTCGACTGGTGGACGGTGATGAGGACAGTTGCTGTTGTTGTTGTTGTTTTTGGAACATCATGTTGAAGCTGGTGGGACTGTCGAGGGAGGTGGCGATCTGGAACTTTCCTGAACCTCCACCTCCTCCTGCCAGACCTCCTGCGTCCATCAGTCCACTTTGGGTTAGGGAGTGGGCACCGCTGAAGAGGTTGGTGCTCTGCTGGTGAAGGCTGCCACTTCCCAGGCCATTTCCGCCGCTTCCCGAGGGGGCAGCGACGGAGGCAAATCCACCAGCCCTTCCTAGCTGTGGTGGCAAACTGAATCCGCCCACCTGATGCTGCTGCGCCATGTGGTGAGGGCTGTTGTGGTGGTGGTTGTGCAGGTGGTGGTTCTGCTGGGAGCTGCCGCCAAAGTTGATGAACATCGGTTGCGAGGGAGTAGGGGAAATGCCGGAGACGGCGATGGGGCTGCTGCCCATCATAAGGTTGTTCGCAGAGGAGGAGGAGGAGGTGCCAGCGGCGGTGTTTGGGCGCGGTGAGGCCATGCTGCTGCTGCTGTTGCTGCTGTTGATGTGGAGGCTGTTGAGGTTGTTCAGTGATGCGGTCGGTGACTGCTGAAGTGTTGTCTGTGATTGAATCTCACTAACGGTGATCTGCTTTTGGCGCATGCTTTCTTCCTGGAGCAGTTGCTCCTTGGCGAGCTGTTGCTTGAAGTTAGTTCGACTCATGACGTGTCGGTGGGACACAGTGTGGGGACTGGCTGCGAGGCGAACTGTGTCTGTTGGGCTCTAGAACCAGTTGGTGGTCCCCATGGGTACTCTAGTTCAGGTTACTTCCGGTTAGGGTGATGAAGAAAGGAAAAAGAAGAAGGAAAGAGGCAAGGGTATTCTGGTTAGGAGGAGGAAGAAAAAACGTAAAAAGTTAAAACGGTGCTGGTTGTTGACGGTTTGAGCGCGAGAGTACAAGTGTGCGGCGCCAAGTGAAAGTGAGCGAGAGAGGGAGAGAGTGAGTGAGGAAATGAGGAAAGTCAAAGTCAGTGTAAGCTGTGTGTGAGTGAGTGAGTATGTCAGAGTTATGTGATAGAGAGAAGATAGTGAGCTAACGTGGGGGCAACAGTTTGGCAGCGGCAGCGGTGTGCGGTGTGCTGGCGTGGAAGACTGCTCACTCACATGATTCGAAGGAGGGTGGCAGAGAGGAAGAGGCATCGAAAGGAGATTCTCCACTATGTCCTTGGCAGCAGCCAGTGGTCGATCAGTCAGTGAGTCAGTGTGCCTGCCTGCCCGCCCGCCCTTCTTGCTCTGTCTCATCAACGCTGCCATCAGCGACGACGACAACAACAACTTTGTACAATCACCCAACTGCACTTCTCATTGCCACCACCACCACCACCTCCGTTAACTGTTAGGCAGGCATTCCCATCCGCATTCAGTGACTCCCTCGGTTGCTGCTGCTGGTTAGCTCTGCTTGGCATTTAGGGAGAGCCAGTGAGTGCATGTGGAGCCGGTTTGATATTTCACTTGAGCATTGCTAGTGCCTCCTCAATTTACCATTTGCCAGTCAGCCAACCAACCAACTGACGACAACAACAACTCAGTGGAAGAAATTGGGCGAAAGNAGCTCTGCTTGGCATTTAGGGAGAGCCAGTGAGTGCATGTGGAGCCGGTTTGATATTTCACTTGAGCATTGCTAGTGCCTCCTCAATTTACCATTTGCCAGCCAGCCAACCAACCAACTGACGACAACAACAACTCAGTGGAAGAAATTGGGAGAAAGAAAGAGAGGATCCTCCAATTGCTGCCGATGTTGTTATCGACAGTTGTTTACTGCCTCTTACTCCTCTCGCTCTCCCCTTAGTGTTAGCGAGTGCACCACCGTGTCTGAGCTGGCAAGACTTTCCCTATCCTTGAAAACGATTGTCGTCATCGGTGTGAGGCAAGAAGAGGCAGAAGCAGAAGCGCCGCAGAAGCACTGGTAGTAAGCATTGCTTATTCAGTGAGCAGCAGTAAAAGCAGCTTCAGGCGTCGCACTTCGATTGCAGTGTTGCAGCCTCCCAATTGCCGCCATTTAGTTGTGTGCTCCTCGCGCTTGCGCTCACCAGTGCTTCAGCCACAGTAGGAGCTCAACCAGCTGCAATGTACGGCTGCTGCTGTACAACGACCAACACCACCAC